CCTTCTACCATAAAAGTATATTAAACTTTTGAACATTAGTAATATTATATTCTTCCAACTCTTATGAAAATACTTATTTAATTTATTTATACTCAATATACACATCCCTTAATTAACCTTCACTTTTTTATATCTCTATACAAGGCGATCCACATATGTAAAAGAGATCTTATCACTAATGGTACTTATGCTCGAAACTTACTATTTTGATTATTACTTTTTTCACAATCTGGCGAATATGATGTTCTATACGCATTATAAGTTCATAAACAGATTTTTGTACCTTTATTAACATATGAAAAACTTACACTTCATCATAAAATCATACAAATAAATGTGAATTTGTGACTATTAACTTCAAGGTAAGCTTACTAAGCTGGACCAACTGAGTCTTGTGAGGCTAATTTGATGGAGTAAAGATGAAGAAAACATTAAGAAGATGAAGACCTAAAGCGTTGGGGCAAGGTGTAATTTGTGTGAAGATGAAGACCTACTAGTGTAGAGTGGCGTGGCAAGCGCATTATTAACTGTTGGAGAGTTGTTACTCTACGTGTTCGGCCTGGTTGCATAAAGATATCTTTATTAGGTGAGATAAGAGCATAAGAGTGTGTATTGAAAACAAAAAAAACTTAGGTCTTTTGTTACTTGTTGGCAGTTAGGGGTATGTGCGTATCATGTAACACCCACAATTTTCTTTTTGAAGATTAAAAATTAATAAATATAAAATTTTATTACTTTATTTTGTATTATTGTATTTTGTTTTATTTAATTTAGAGTAAAAAATGAAATAAAATATAAAGAGGGTTTAACTGAAAATAATTTTAGAGAAAATGGATGAAATTTTGGGTTATGGGAGTATTTTTGAAAGAAAAATTGAAAAAAGGGGTTAAAACGTAATTTTAACAAGTTTTGCCACATCAGATGTTGAGTCAGCAGCCCTAACTAATCAGGACGCGCCAAGTGGCAGAGGCACTGACGTGGGAGGCCACGCGGGCGATCCACATGTGCGCGATCGAACGGTTGAGGTCCATTCCCGCGCGCACGGATGGCTTGGATGCACTCCCTCCCAAACGCAATTGAAAGACCAGATTCAAAAGCGATCGGACGGTCTAGATCAAACCCGATGGATGGCCCAGATCAAAAGCAGATGGATATAAATAACCTCCATTCACACAAAACCCTAACCCTAGCTGCCAAAACCCCTCGCTGGAGAAGACGACCCAGCCGTCGGGGAGCCAATCGCTGCCATCCGCCGCCACACCAGAACCCTTTCCGATCGCCAAAAAAGGTAAAAAAAAAAATTTTGGCACAAAATTCAATTTTAAACTTACACATGGCCAAATCGGAGCGAAAAGACCAGCCAATTGACCGAAAAACACCGGTGAAGCTCGGCGACGCTGCCGCAAAAAATTTCACAAATTGCCTCCGATGAAGCCCTTCCCGATTCCCGTTTTGCGTAATATTTTCACCGTTGTGATCACCGTTTTCTTCTCTATAGGTTGACCGAAGCAAAACACCCAACCGCAACGTGAGCCAGAGGAGCCGTCGCACCGGAGAGCCCCGCCATCGGTGAGTTTTGGTTTTTCATATTTTTTCAGCCCACCGAGGCCCTTTAGCGTGTGTGATCGCAGGAATCGATACAAAATCAGTCGAATTCAGTAAAAAACGATCGAAAATACATCGGAAATAAAAATA